CAAGACTACTGATCTACCACAATGCCACTAAATACCTGGTTTCTCTGCCACAGGAATAAGCTACTAACTCACCCCCATTACTTCTGAATTCATCAGTCCTGATACTTCAAGGAAATAACACGTCTTACCCTGTGCAGTTGTTGAAAGACTATTTAAATAACCTAAGGATGATAATACAGAGTCATGCTGGAACCGAAATAATTGTGTGCGTCCCTTTTTATACAGCATCTTTGGGTTTAAGCCTCCTATAAGCAGAACCAAGTACTTGCCATCAGAAGAGACGCCCAATCCAACTCCAAGAACTTTGATGGATCTTTCAGCAGTAAGTTTGTGTGATTATACGTTGGGTGAAGACACGAACACTGCCTTTGCACTTTAAAGTCAATTTAGCACTATGAAAATTCATGAAGCAAAAATTAATAAGCTTCATGCAGCTTCAGCACTGACCTCTGGTTTTCTGCCTCTCTCTTTGACAGGAATCAGCTACAGGTTCCACTACTTATTTTGTCCCCACAACCAGGAAAAAGCCTCAAGGAATTTGTTCTATCTTGTAGCAGCAAAAACCCTCCAGCCATCACCACTGCAGTCCTAACAGCTCACTAATGTTTCCTCTTTACACTGTCTTTCCACACTGGATTCGCTCTAAAGCATGTTTCAGTTTAATGTGAACAATAGGTCCAACCACTGTTAGCAATATACTTTCAGAGACTATCTGAGGGGTGATGGATTCTTGATGGTAAGACCTAAATGTATTTAAATGGGCAAATTAAATCATAAAAGAGTTTTGGCTTTTGATAAACTTGAGTTGCTCACCACAAACTCAGTTAAAAAGAGAGCGGCTCGGCTGACTTAGCAGCTCATCAAACACCTTTAATTCCCATCCTGAGAGTTTCATGCTGTGGTGGGAATATGAAAGGTATTGATTTTGCTCACACCTACGATGGACAAGATCTAAATTTGATATCAGTTACCCAATGTTATATGCAGCAAAGACAAATTGGAAACAACAGAAAGGTCTGCCCTGAGGGAAGGTGATCTGTATCACAGACATCCCAGTAACACCTGAAGGCACCAGCTGCCCCACTCTGTGCATACATAGAGCCTGCTGGGCACCAAGAAAGTATCTGCAGTCCTGCATCCATCTCCATGGCCCCCAACATAAGAGGGATGCGGAGCTGTTGGAGCGACTCCAGAGGAGGCCACGGAGCTGCTGGGAGGGCTGGAGCAATGATTCCGAATGCCATGAACCCAGCTTTGTCACCAGGACTTTGGCTTATGAGGATTAAAGCTTAAGCACTCAGATCCCACATTCTCTGTCTAATAATCCTGTAATAATACCTCCCTAAGACTCAGAAGAGGAAAGAAAATAAAGGGGCGACAACAAAAAGAAAAAGAAGAAAAAAAATTGATTTTTATTACAAGTTCCTGAAAAACATGGGTGGGCTGGAAAAGTCTGCTGCAAATCCCCCCATGAGCAGAGCCTGGGATGAAACAAGAGCGGAGGAACTCTGAAAAGACAAGGAACCGACTTTGACAGATGGATGTAAATGTGTCTTTCAGTGCAGGAGAACAGTTGATTCTAAGGCATGAAATCAAATTAGTGCATCTGCAGCTGCCTATGTGTCATCCAGCTTCATATTTTACACACTAAAGACATTTTTTAACCTCATGTTAGCTACACTTCCTTTTTTTTCATTATTACACTCCAGGATTTGCAAAATGGTATTGGCAGGTATTAAAATGAGAGCTGAAGCAATGGTGCAATCTGTCTCATTTCTATTGTAACACGACAGAAAGCTTTTTTGGACTCATTTGCTATCAGGTAGGGAAAAATAAAATCCCAGTAGCACTTCAGCAACAAATGCTGAACTCTTCAAAGCAAGTAGTTCTGCATCTCTTGATGAAGTGGAGGATAGTTGGTCCTTACTTCCCCCTCGAGCTTCTCATCCCCCTGCCAAACACTCTCAAAAGCCTCCATCACCACCAAGCGTCAGCAGAGTGGCAATCGGAGCTGTTCCCCAAGGACATTAAAGTACTTAGTGATGGACCTGAGCAGGAAGGAAGCAACTTTGGCAAAGGTGTTGGAACAGTTCAGGACATGTTTCACACTAAAGGGTCTGGACACTGCCCTGAGCACCGCGCATCGCTGGGGAAGCAGCAGAGAAAGGCTCAGACCCAAACCACGCAGACTGGCTGCAGCAATGTCCCCTGTTCCCAAATGCTTTCTGGATGCTTGCTCTGCTTCTGCCATGTTTTCTAAGCCCACACTCAGGGTGGTTAGAAAGGAAACCCAGGAGCAAAGCAGAGATGTGGAGAACAAATGGGTCACAACTGGTCCCCCATCCCAGCACAGCTCGGAAGGATCTTTTTTGCAAAGAATCAAAGCCTTCAACAAGTTCTGGAATCTCTCTTGTGCTTTTCTCCAAGCTGCCTGGGTTGATGAACTCCCTCATTTTTATTCTCATGGGGGTGGAGAACCAGTGCAGAATCAAAGAACCAACTGGGTTGGAAAAGCCCTTTAATCCCATCCAGTCCAACTGCTCCCCAGCAGTGCCAAGGCCACCACTTGACCCATGGCACTGAGGCCTCATCTCCATGGGGTGTGAACACTTGCAGGGACGGTGCCTGCAGCCCTGCCCTGGGCAGCCTGTTCCAATGCCTGAGCACCCTCTGGGGCAGGAATTGTTCCTCAGCTCCATCTAAACCTGCCCTGGTGCAGCTTGAGGCCGGTTCCTCTTGTCCCATCCCTTGTTCCTTGGGAGCAGAGCCCAGCCACCTCCTCATGTGTACACTCAGAAAAAACATTTTCCTTGTTAAAGCCCAATTAAAGCTGTTATTAGATGTCCATATATAACGCAGCCCTATTGCACTGCAGCCATATGGAAGTTAAATTATGAATCATTTAAAAACCTCCTATTTTAAAATAAGAGTCTTATTTGCAGTCTCAAACCCAGTGCTTTTAACTCACAAGTTACTCGGGATTTCAAATCCTGGGAACACCACAGCACTGATGACTAAAACTTTGCTGTCTGATTTCCAACACAAACATTTATGCACAACACTTCAGCCCTCCATGAGCAATGATTACATTACAGAATGGCTGCCTACAGCCCTTGGAATTGATCAAAATAAAAAGCTGAACTTGTACCGCTCTTAGAAACAATTCCTGAGGGTTTGGTCAAATTCTGTACAGGATAAAATTAAACAGAGATTGATTTATGTAGAGGGAGTAGCAGTGGCAAGGTTGGCGAATTGTGTATGCTGCAAGTGGGAATGGCTATTGCCAGAACACAAACCACATTAATTGTAACAGAAATAGGAAGACAAAAGGTACTGCTTTCCTTCCCGTACCAGACAAATCTATGAGCCAAAATAAAAAGCTTAACTACAGGAAAGGTGATTGCTTTCTTGTAACACAATGAGACAGCAAAACAAAATGAGGGGTTTACAAGTCCTAATCATTCGATTCCCATCCCTGATGCTTCATTTGTCATTCCCTGTATAGCAGAAAGTCAAGACTTAATATGTTACCAAGTGAAGAATTTGATTGAATAAAAGGACCTGAATAGCATAGGATCCTGCACTGGAATGATTTCCTCTTGCCTCCCTTAAAAACAAAAACTCACCTCTGCTGAGTGACTCAGAGCAAATACAGGAGAGCTTTTGCAACCTGCCAACCAGGATGGATCTGGTAAAAACCAGTCAAAATAAAAACCCAGGAAGAGAGTCATTAGAAGGTACATCCCCAGCTGCCTGGAGCTCACACATTTCCTGGTTCTATATCCTAACCCACCTAAAGAAGGCAAGGGCCCAAACTGATGTTGGTTTTTATCATAGGGGAAATCCCAGATGGGCATGGAGAGCCCTCGATGCAAAACAGGTTATGACTGCAAAGACTTCCTGATGAAATGATTTCAGTTATGATGTCTCCCATGTGAAGCTGTAACTTCACTGGTGATGTTGCTTGAGCATCACTAAAAAGATCTATTTCTGCATAAAGACGTGATGAAAAGCACCTCTTTTCGCCTCTGACTCAGCAACACCACCAATGAGTAACACTGCTACAAGACACCTCTCAAGCCTTTAGCCTACTGCAGTACTGGCTTATTTTCCCCCCATCCCACCCCATCCCATTTCCCTTTTCCTTTAAAACTCAGTGATGTCTCTGTCATGTTACCATTTCAAATCCCCTGTTCTTACATGCATGTTACATTTGTGATGCCTGCTGTGGCTGCACACTGAAAGCAAAGTGCCAAACAATGCAGGGAGAAGGAGGCGAAATCAAAGCATTTTAGAAATCTTAAGCTTGGCAAAAGCTGTGTATAATTTTGCTTAGGCTGCAAGTTGCCTTGAGAAAACACTATCAAAGCACCATCTTTTCCAATTGCTTGAGCTTTACTTTTTAAGTTTATTTTTGCTGCTTATAGTAGATCCCAGACTGACAGCTCTGACTGTATCTTTTCAATGTATGCAAGAATAAGAAGCAACAACTCAGCAACAGCACAGGCAGCTGATGTATCCTTTCCCTAATAAGAAACCCAAACCGTTGACTTGGGAGCATCACCCAGAAGGGTTGTGAACCCCCAGTCCTGTCCTGCCCTTGATTCCCTTCAAGCTCCCTGCTTGCAGAAGCACTGGTGAAAGACACAGCCGGAACTATAAATTGACAGTCCAGTAATGAACAATTGATGAACATTTCACAACCAATCTGCTCCAAGTCCATGAGGCTGCATACAAATGAAATCAGAACAGAATAAACATTTCAAGTCTCTTGGAAGACTGAGCCTTCCCAAAAGCCACTGCTCTAGCTGGAAAAGCTCATTTAATGTAAACCCACAATGCACAGGTATTTGTTGCATTCCAATGCCAATGGAAAATTCCCATTTGGATTCATTTTACAGCGCTCTGACTTCATACACTAGTAGCAAAGAGGCCTTTACCATCTTCCTAGAGTTAATGGAGACAAGGCTGGGAAGCTCATCACTGCTCTGTGATCCTGTGTCTGCAGTTGGACCATCCCCCTGTTCATCCAGCAGGTCCAACAGTAACATTAGAAATTCCCAGTGTTCTTAATTCACAGGCTAAAGCAGAAAATTGCTATTATTTAAAATAAAAACACCTCTACCTGTAAATCCGGTGGTACAAGTGATTTCTGGGGGTCCTTCCCTGGTGGTAGATGAGCTGTTCTCATACTGCATCGCTTCCTGATATAAGGATGCAAATTACAGGAGCTCTAGTTCCTGAAATGAGCATAGACAAGTTGGAAATGCATTAGGTTTGGGAGCAAGCTTGGCTGCCAGTATAATATTACTATTACAGCAGCTATCCAGTTGGAAAGAACCAGCTCATCCTCACACACAATGAAAATAAGCAGGTAAACTTGCTGCTGTGATTTCACAAACTTTCGACACCTGCACTATTTATATGCTATATACAGTTTATTATAAGCCAGCAATTAAAACTCTTTTCTGTATCAAGTAAGGTCAATTTTGGTACCTGTGACACAGAGGCTGAGTGACAGAGGTGCTGCCTCTGGCTCCCAAACCACCCTCTCACCTCTTCATTCCCAATTCACCTTTGGCACTCCTGAAAGAGCCCTTTCTATTGAGCTGACTGTGCTGGGGGCTTGCACAGCTCCCCCCCAAAGCACCACCACCCCCCCCGATGCTGCAGGCTCTGTGACTCACAGAACAAAGTGGGTTGAAAAACCATCTGAGAAGTAGATGGACTTTTTTGATCTGCTGCCTTGTGATGTGTTCTCACAAAGCGAATGCTCCTCAAAACACGTGAGGACGTGGTAACGCTGCTGCTGCTTTTGATGCAGCCCTGTCTGCACTTAAAGCAAATCCTCCGGTTGGATTAAAACACACTGACTGTATGGAAAAGCTCGTAACTGGCCACAAACTGGCTCTATCTCCCAGACTGAAGAGCAGGAAAAAGTACAAAGTGAATGTATTTCCTCAGTGACACAGCCAGGTGAAATGACAGGACTCAGGGGAGGAGGGAAGAGCAATAGCACAGCAGTGAAGTGCTTCGGCCTGTCCCCAGCATCCCCAGCTAAAACCCTGCTCACGCTATCAGACACAGCATTTCTGCTCCTGTTTGACTTAACCCCAGTCCTGATCCAGGCACCGTTGCAAGCAGGACTGGTTCCTGATTTCAAACTTCCTAGGGTGCTTCAGATAATTTGCATTTACTTAAGTTTTCAAACCCGGGAAGTATTTTAGGGCACCACATATCCTAAAGGCTGATGAAAGGCTGGCAGTAAGCACCTTCAGTAGTTTTAATGATCACTGCAACTCATTTACTGCAACCACCTCACTTCCTACAGCAAAACCAACCTCTTCAATCTCACAGGAACTGCTTGGCCAGAGAATGGACAGGGACAGCGAGTGCTGCACAAAGGTGTGGGAAACCCCCCACGAGAAAACACAGGAACCTGCTTACAGGCGTTTGCCTGGTTTATCTGGTAGTGGCCACATAAAGACAAGAAGAAACGGAGATTTTCACTTAAATCTCTAACTGAAACGTGCTGCCAGTGTTAACCCATCATTAAGAGAGTGTTCCAGCAGGAGCGGGGAGCAGGCACTGAGCTGTCGCAGAGCCCCCTCTAGCGCGGCTCCCCACGCTCCCCGGCCAGACACACACATGGAGGAGCTGTCAGGCTGCATCTGCTTACTTGTTTCTGTGCCGTTGGAGTTATTTCTGTGCAACCACGTTATTTATGGCTATTGTCAGGAGGAGGGAGGAACTGAAGGGGAGTTCAACATCAGCCAGTCTGCCCAGCAGAGCCCTGCCTGGAGACCTCTCGCTATCTGACATGCTGAGAAATGAGATAAGGATCGTTGCCATCATTATATAGGCTAAATCTGATTTGGAAAGACTGCAGAGATTCCACCCAATCCTGGTAAATGAGTTTCTATCCCTCAGTTTCCAATGCAGTTCATGTGTCAGACCAGACCTGCAGCTCCGCAGTCCAGAGGCAGCTTAATCAAACACCTTCAAAAATGTAAAGAAACACTGCAATGAATAATATTTGTGCATAAACTGATCTGAATGTTATCAAATGAAAGGACTGAGTTTAGGACCTGGAAGTATTTCTGTTATCACACTTCCATATTTTTATAAAGCTGTGAGGGGGTTGTTTGAGCCTCTGTAAACTGTCTTCAGCTCTTAAAATCCATCTGAACCACAGCGTATCTGCAACAGATTACAGTCCAGGTTTAAGGATCTGCTGAAGAAAGAACTGGGTGTGATTTAAATTTACCAAGTAGCCATCAATTCTAACCATGAAGAATAAAGTTCAAAAATAAAATGCAATCCTGGTAAAAAGAACTAGGGCAACTGTTTCCTGATCTTCCCAAGAGCTCCCTCCACAAATCCTCTTCCCTGAGGTATTTCCCACATCCGCCTAGCTGGGTCAAACAAGCATCTTGCTGCATCCCTGAGGAATACCAAGTGCTGCCTCCCTAATTTCTCTAATGAGACAGCCAGCAGCAGAGACCCCTGCTCCTCACAGCAGGGATGGGGGCTGCAGGCCCTGTGCACTCCATGTCCTTCCCAACAGCTGCTGAACCCTCACATCTTAATGGCAATCGAGACATTCCCAAAAGGAGGCAGAGGCAGCCTGTGCAAGGACAGCAGGGCAGCAGTTCTGTGCTATCAGCTTTTGAATTCGTGGAGTAACAAAAACCGACCCTCAACTTCTGCTCTTTGCATATAGGACCTTTATTTTGTGGCCCACAGCATCAAGGGACGTGACGCTGACACCGCTGCAACTAGTGAAAGATGCCTTAAGAGGGCTGTCTAACCAAAAAACTCACTGTGCATCTCTAGCAGAGCTAATAAAAATCGTTCTCTCCCCCTGCAAACCTTTCCTTCCTCAGGACTTTCTTTGAGACTCTTCAGCTGAGAAGAGCTGATCCCATGAGTGTTCTCCATCACGACTCTCATCACAGTGCACGCACAAACCTCACCATGAACTCAGACAAGCTGTCCTTTTGATTTGTGAGGCTCACAAAAGGATCACAGCTTCAAGCTGCTGAGAAGGGGAGGATCAGGTTATGAGGCTCCTCTTACTCTGCTGCTTGAAGAAAGTATTTTATATACGACTCACATGCAATCTTTTTTACCTTTTTTTACCATTACAACAATGAAGAACTTAATTTCTTACAGACACCTGAGACCCCCAGAAGTCATTGAGAAGTGACTTGTGCAACCACAGCTGTGTCACCTACACCTCTCTATCTTTCCTCCTGATTTTTATAGCACTTACTTGATACCTGTTGTCTATATACTAAAAATAACCTTGCAGCTGCAGCGCTTAGGGCTTTGCTTTAACAAAGCCCTGACCTGACCCCTGAGACACAACTGCATTAAACTCACACCATCACCAGCAATGAAGCACATTTTCCTCCATCTGAAATGGGTTTTGAATGTTGTGCCCTCCACTACATCCATACCCCATCACACTGACCCTGGGGGGAACAGAACAATGCTAAGGAGCAAAGGCACAGACAGAGCACAACCCCAACTGCCGACCTCCTGAAGCCCAGACAGGGCCAGTCATCTCTTCTGATGGGCCATGGGAGTGCCCACACTTAGTAGCTGTCATTCAGCAGCCTCAGATCTAACCTGCAGGACATTCCATTACAGTCAGTATCAACATATCATATGTGAGGTCCAACGATAAGCTGCACTGGAACCAGTCATGTGTTGGGTTAGCAAAGGAGAGCCAGAGATCCCTCCAAGGCTTGGAGAAGCATGAGCAGTTGTCTGAGGCCAACCACAGGGACACAGATGCCAAGTCTGCAATTGAGAGCATTCCCTCAGGCAGGCTCTCAGGTCCCAGATGCAGTTGTGTTTTCTTCTCCAGTGTCCCTTGTGTGAATAAAGCCCCAGGTCTGCTTTTCTGTACCTGAAAGCATTCACCTGCTGCAAGATCCACCGGTTACAGTTATCAGTTATTAGTACTGCTCGCATCAGCGGCACAAGCCAGCAAGGAAGATGGCTGTGCACCTCCTTGAACAAGATAGCTCCTAATGGTGGGATTTGTTTGACACTTTGCTACAGGGAGATGAAGAGGACTTTCCCCTTCTGCTCCCTTTTGTTCCAGACACTTTCCATTTGCACCTCATGGGGCAAGTTACACACTTCACTATGTCCATAGATCAAAGGTCAAAAAAGGAGACAGGAAAGGGTGATGGAATACTGAGTAGGAGACATTGCAAAGATGGTTTAAATAAAAAGGTTTTTTTTCTCCCTTCTTTTTAACATTTCTGTAAAGTGCAAATGTGAAAAAAACACCCACAGCAATATGGGTTAAGGAACATTTGTCAATAGGAAAGAGAATAAAAGTAGGCACCAAAACAACAGAAATAATGACTCTGCTTTCCAGATTTTGATTCCAAAATACCTGGTGCCTCAGGCAGTTATCTGAAAACTCTGCCTTAGCACAGAACCCCCCTGCTTCACCTCAAATAGCTGTAGTTAACAAATACTTCATGTGTGTGTGTATGAGAGCCACTGACAGCCTACAGCTATATGGAAAGATGGAACTGCCAAGAGGGAATAGAAGCAAAGGCAAAAAGAAATATTAGAGCAATATATCTTAGGCTTGGAGAAGAGTATTTCCTCTTTGTCTTTTCCTCCATGTCTGAGGGAGCTAAAAAGTTGAAGTGCACCTAAACCACTGCTGTGTGCAGGAACACTGTGCAAAGCTCCTTACCCACAAGGATTCTCATCACCCTCAGGTCACCATCCAACCTGCCCATCTGCATCTTCTGGAGCACACAGCAGTGAGATTTTTCCCAGTGCCAGTTGCTGCGTATCTTCCCTGAGATCATTACCAACAGAAATGGGAAGATGTTCCCATACTCCTGACACAAGATGCATCCAGCTGGGATTACGGCAGGCTTTTCCTTTCCTCTTGTTCCTTACGGCTTTGCCACACTGCCTCAGCCAAGTGGTCCAGGCAAAGCTCTGAACTCCATCTGTGTGCTTTAACTGTGATGGTTACAAAACCAGATCATCAATATTTAAGGAATCACTGTTTCACAGCATGCTTCCAGATGTTCCTGCTTTCATTATTGCCTTCTTACTTGAAAAGTCAACAGGATGTGATATATTCAACATACAATCTACTCTGACACTCATCTCCACGCTGTTGTCTCTCACAGGATACTCCCACCAGACAAGTACATTACTTCTTGCACAATTACCAAAATGAAATTTGTGTTTA